AATATTTCAGTACCTTCATTATGTGAATTGTATTTTATCCAAAGATTTTGCCGAATTAAAAATACGTATCGAAGTATGATTCGTTTTCATTATCCATAAGAAAAAAACAGCATTTTCGCATGTCACAAATTTTCTCACATGTGCAGAATTATTTTGCCACAATAAACACTTTTTTTTATTGTGGAACTTCCTGTCAAATGCAAATCAATTTTTTCTATGGCATGCTAACTCGAATCAATACGTTAACTAAGGTAAACATCATTTTAGCGTGATTTTCTTGATGATCTTTGGACATCATTCGGCTGTTGATATTTGGTTAGAACTTCAAAGTGTTGTAGTTAATTCGTTTGAATTATGTTGACTTCTGAACTGTTTCAGTAGTATATAGCCAATGGAGTGTTATTTGTGACACATGAATGTTGCAATTGGAGAAAGAAAAGAGGTACATTTTCATATGATAACAACAATACATATTTATGTTGATTTCACCTGTGATACCTCATCAATATGTTTCTTGAGTACACCACCACCCACCATTACGTTTGTTTTGAACATCCATGTAATTTTTTTCATGGCTGAATTCTTTAATATCAATAAATAGACTATCAGAGTGATCTTAATGGCTTGGCCCTCAACGATACAATGAGAGCTCATTTGTGTACAAATAATTCAAATCTTGAAATCCCTCATCCACACCGCGATGGGTCTTCAGCTAACAGCGGCAGTATTCCCAATATGAGAACATTAACTGATTGACATTCCGTGTTTTCATGAAATAGAAAGAAATCTTTGGATGTAAATTCCCCTATGTCCAGAAATCGACCAACACCTCTCACCCTTCTACCTGTGCCATGAGCACGGAACAGACACTGCCCTCGATGGTTTATCGTTGTCGAGCTTAACGCGAATTAAAATCAGTCAATTGTATAAATCGAAGGCGATTCAACGAGTCCCTATCTCGTCGGCCGCACTTCCGTCTTACTTGTATACGAATCACGAAAAAAATACTACACATTCAAAGTGGTAAACGGATCGTCAGATTAAAACGTCATCGAACTCTAAACAAAGTTGTGTCGAATCGATAATGTGCCATTTTCAAGTTGTTGGCCCATTTTTCAATATTCAATTTATTGGCCCAACTGAATTGATTCTTGCAACTGTTTGAATGTTTGACCAAGAAGATTTCTCAGCGTGGGTTTATATAAAGAATGACAATATGAATAATTTAACCTACCTAGACCTACATGAACAGGTGAAATGAAAGTGAATGAATTTTCATTTCAAATATAGGTAATTCAGAATCCTTCCTCCATGTATTATGATTTGAAAATGTGTTTCAAGGAATCGACATATAAGCTTCAATTTCATGACAAAAAATTCCAAGGATGTTTCTGTGAAGGCTGAATCAATATGCAACTGAAGCGGTGGCTTCTGCAGCAATGACAGCAACAGAATCAGTTTTGAGAGAATCTACTCCAGGATCAACAGTTTTTCAATGGATTCGACTTTGCCTATGTCTACATCATCAAATGTTCCTCTTCCAAGTTTAGAAAAGAAACCAGATTCAATAAAAGTGCAAAAAGCAATGCAGATTATGACATTATTATTAATAAAGTATCCCAAAATTTAATTTATAATTAAAAAAGAAAAAGAACGAAAAATATTCATTTGAAGTATTATAATTTTTACAAATGATACATTTTAGACAAATGATATATAGTTTTTATTCATTTTCTTATAAAAGAAGTTGTTAGTAAGTGTGCGCCATATGGAAAGCAAGAAACGGACCAACTGATAAGTAAATATATTTTTACAAAAGAAAAAAAAAAGAGGAAAAACTTCAGCTGAAGTCCCTGCATTGCCTCCTAGGTGTTTGCATTGCAGTATAAGGAGTGAGCCATTTTTTTTTTATACAAATGCAGTTAAACATCCAAGGTTCTATCTACCATCATCAAAATCCATGTCCAAAAAAGTTCAAATGTTCCATCAAAACGTTCTAGGAGAAAAATGAGGAAGATATAATGTCGGTCGTTTTGTTGATTTGTTTAAAAAAATTGTATAATAGCTTTATATTTTTATTTTTGAATAATTTACATCCCACCCTGTGCAAACGCCATTCATAATTTCATGAGATGTCAAATAAAATCAGCGCCAATTGGTCAGGTGATAAGGAATAATTAATGACAACTAGATGATGGTTCAACTCCGCCTTTCCCGCATTTCTAATACAGGGTCTTCGACAATAAGTGAGAACCACTCAATATAATATAATAGAGATACCTCATGAAAAACGGTCAAGTGGCACTCGGATCAATGTTAGGCGGCCATTACAATTTCCCATTCCTTGAATTAATTCATGTCATTTTATTTCCTGGTATATTTGCTGTATGAGGCATCATCCAATTCCAATCTTTCTCCTCGCCATATTATCTTTCTTTGACATCTCATGTTTGAACTTGCAAACATCTTATTCAAATGATGCGGGAACCTCTTTGTATGATCGCAGATGTTTTTGGTTTGTGCAGTAGTAACAACAGTCAAGATAAGTGTATACATTTCAGCTAACCCTACTTTCGAAAAACAGGAATACATTATCATGTTTAAATGATCGAAGTTCATGACCTTCCAAAGAAACGATAATGACATATTTATATGAATGCAAAGAACATTATATGGTTACTAGAAGAAACATATAGTTTTAAACCATTCCTTCTGTTCATGCCTACTAGTGAAATGATCTTCACCTAGAAGCAGACACAGCCATTTTTTGTTAAATGCTCAGTGAAGATAATAATCGAAAATATGATTTGCATAAATCCGCCTCAAGTGAGAATGTATTGGATGGCGCTGTTCATGAAACACGTGTTCCTGATGTTTTCCAATTCTTTGATCATTTTGAACTATGTACATTTGGTTAGTATTTCCTCCTAACCAATTAACGTTTATGAAACTCTTCACATTGCTAGTATTGAGATAAACTTGATTCAATACCTTAATAATGGAAATGGCAAAACTGCCCTTTTCATATTCTCATCAGTATTTGCGATTTTTTTGGTGTTCTTCTTGCGTCCTTGTCAACTTTTCCACTTGCTTTAGGCGGCATATTATAGTAATCGAATTTCAAATCAAACACAAAGAATTAACTTCAATGCAATTCAGAAAGACTGTACCTACTGGAGACTCGTATATTTGGCTACAACTTTCGTTATTGACAAATTAACGTTTATGAAATTCTTCACCTTGTTAGTGTCATGATGAACTCGTCTCAGCACTTCAATAATGTAAATGGCGTAAGTTTCATATTTTCTGATACATCCAGTTATATTATCATGTTTGACATTAACATATTTGAAACTTATGTGTACAGTAGAAAGGAATACCGATATTGGTGCTATATTGGGTAACCAGAAATGTCATTTTTTATATGTTGCCCCATGACATGATATCAATTTCGGAGGGAACATAACAGTGCATTTCCATCAAATTTTAGGGACGTTCTTTTATTCACCGAAGGCACCATCAATCCACCGTGTTCATATATTTCAGTTTGAAGTGTAACCACGCGTTCATTTATTACTGTTGTGTCAATCAAAATTACAAACCATTTCACCGATGTAAAAGAATGTGGACGAATTTTGGTGGCTTCCGAAATGACAGCGATAGCATAACCTCAAAAAACTAAAAACTAAATATTGGATTTGTAAGATGTTTGCCATTTGCATGAGAAAAAAATATGGATGAATTAATCGTTTAGAATATGAACATAAAAGAATAGCTGCATTATTTACACCAACAGAAATTTAAGAAATTTCGAGTGGTAGGTACTCTTTTCCTTCCCATACTTAATTTGAATGAATTAGTGCAAACAGAGAATTCTTATTAATGACTCTATCCATATTATCATAATTTAATGCAATGTTTTGTATATAGGTTGTAAGTAATTTCAACCAATCTCGTCTATTCCCCAACATAAACAATATTTCATCCTCGGAACTATCAGAACTGCTAGAACTTCTGGATCTGTAGACAAGGATCCCAATAACACTTTTGATACATCATTTTCCATTTTACATTAGTTTCCGCCAATTTTGAGTTCCTAATTAAGAACAACCTAAATCACCATCAAATCACGTAAAGAAAAATAAATAATGAAAAAAAAAACTGTTGTGATTGTCATGTGCATCAGAGAGTGACGTCACTTCCATCAATGATGAAAATGTGGTGTGAAACAGAACATACCCTTTCTTCTGTTGTTAATATCACATGATTAATATCACATGACCTCTTCATTACATCTATTGTTGGAGATTATGCCAATGTACAAAAACGAGACGAAGAAATTTCTCCTGAATGACGGTGTTACCTAGGAACTCAGATTATTTCCCTTCCTAATTCACATGCGGTATACTTCTGAATGCGAAGTAGCTGGTTATATGTATGTTTACATTGTTTTTTACTGCTTGCACTAGTTTTCTTCAAATTTTCATAAGAACTCTTTGTGATAAAGATGGAATAGTCTTGAACACTCGTACTGCAACTCAGCTTGTTACCTTTCATATTACACCCGCATCTGAATTGTATACACATTTCTTGATTGTTACTAAAAATATAAAAAGAAGAATCGCTGCTAATGAAATGTTACCGAAGATATCCGATATTTACCAACTCATGACACAGGCTGACCCAAAGAACATAAAACATGCACCTTACTTACAAAATATTTATATCAAGATTCGAAAATGTCACTCGGACAAAAGCATCATAACACTTGAAGGAGACAATGCTAATATACTCGTTCCAAGCTCTTTATTGAAAACTAGTACCTAAAAGTCGATTCAATCAATTGAAATCTTTAAATAAACCCACTCTAACGATCTTCCGGGCCTGTTTCAAATTAGCTTACAATTCGACACGTCCGATCCTTCGACCGCTCAACACCCACTCACCTATAAGCGACGGCGCCCGTCCAACGTCTCGTCTCACGCGCACGCGCACTCACTTCATTCCACCTCGCGGGCAGCATCTGGGCGAGGCGGCGCGTCGCCCTGTCCCTTATGCTCCGCCCCCTGTCCCTTATGCTCCGCCCCCTGTCCCTTATGCTCCGCCCCCTGTCCCTTATGTTCCGTCCCCTTGCCGCTCTCCTCCTTTCCTTTAATGCTATCCTCCTTTCCTTTGTCTCGCTTGCCCTTGCCGCGGTCCTCCTTCCTGCCCCTGCCGCTGGTCGAGCCGTCCTCGGCTATGACGACCTCATTCACTGGCACGTCTCTGGAACGCGGAGGAAGAAGAAACGGTTTAGGTTTATAATAAAAATAATGTTTCTTTGCTACCCATTTCTCAATTAATATTGTTATTTATAATGATTTATTTGATTTATATCGATTTTTTATATTTATACTGATTTCTTCCTTGAATATGGAAATAGTGAACTTTAAAATAACTCAATATCAATTAAATTTTGTATAATTTGTATATCGCTACTTCGAGTTGGGAGTCAATTCTCCAAAAGTCGAAACTTTTGCGGAGTTAGGCAGAGCAAAAACTACAGTTATAGTGGAGTCTGAACCACTTCTAGGGCATTGATGTGCTGCCAGGATTGTTTGTTTATTGAGAAAATAACTTCCAGTCAAAATTATGGTATCCAGAGCTAAATCGACACAAACCTGCAATATAATGTTGAACGATACTGTTGTCAATCTGAGCTGTGATGCGAAAAATCTAGGTATAGTCATTGATGAAACACTAACATTCGAAAAACATGTCTTAGGAAAACTGAAAGTATGCTATTTCAAGTTCAAATCTTTATGGAGATATAAATACATACTCCCGCAGGAAACAAAATGGAATCTTGTAAATATACTTATTATCAGTCAGCTCGATTATGGTTCAAGTGTTTACTATAACTAATATGATAGTTCCAAGGCACAAAACATCCAAATTTCAGAAATGTTATTCATATATTGCTCCATTCATGTACAACACACACAAAGAATATTTCATGCTGGACTCGTTAAATAAATTTAAAACAGAGTATCGTAAGAATCTGAGCGCAGCTCTCACCTAGTGGGTATATTTATATTTATTGAGGACATATCATTAGGGCCGAGTGATCTATTCTAACTTATTTCACGGTGTTCATTATTTTTTATAGTTTATTTGAATAATCAGTCAATGGTTTCTGTATATTTTCCTGTATATTATGTAGTATGTATTGTATATATCGTTTTTCTTTATATTTATCAATTATGTTATGTTTTATTGTTATTATTCAGGCAGAATAATTGAAAAATGGCTTTGCCAATATTCTGTCCTTTTGGAGTAGTAAGACCATAATATATACTATTTCGCGATGAATTTGTTATACATATTGGGTATTACTTCAATAAACATTATTATTATTATTATTATTATTATTAAATAAAATTCTGGTATGAGGAAGTTGATTACAAACAACAATAATAAAATAACATAAGGTGACAACAACAAAAAAACTAAGAAATCTAAAAATGCCAAATCGATCAAATCATAAAAATAGTAACAGGGATGAATCAGTAGATGGCAAAATATCAATTTTATCCATTTCATAATAAAATCATGTGTTTTTCAAATGCAACTTTGAATATGAAATATTGAAATATGTCTGCATTTTTTTATATTATGTGGTAATTTATTGAATTCAGCTTGAGCAGCGTGAGTGAATTTTTCTTGGCCAATTTTAGAAGTAGCAGAATCAAGATGAAATAAATTTAATGGGCGTGTACACCTTAGTAGAACTTTTAACTCAAACCATGTTTATAATGATGCTTTTATACATAAATAATGATTGACGACATAATTCGATCGAAAAATCAACTGGAATGTTTTATTTTTGGACATAAATAATAGTACCTTCTGAAAACGGACCCTCTCATGACGTAAAAACCTAAACTCGCCATAGTTAAAAGAAAATAGCAAACGCTCTACAGAGACTGAGGCAACTGATATATAAATTCTTTCAACTGTGATCTCGCGCTAATTCACTCTGTCAGAAATCATGTATCATTCATCTCTGTCTGGAATAGTCTTGTTTCAGTATCAGGGTTTTGACGTCACATCATTGCCTCGTTTTCAAAGGTCCGAAAAATCGGGGATTTCAATAATTTTTTATAAAACGTAGGGAGCTCACAGCAAGAAACGGTTTGCGGTGGTGAGATAGTTTGGGTGAGTTCTATCGAATTATGAAATAAAAATTTTTTGTGATATAAGCCCATTGTCTCGTGTGATGACCATGAATTTCTGAGTTTCAAACAAAATTGGATTCCAGATTTTTGTTTATGATATTATATGAAACTTCAAGAGAATCTATTTTATACAATTCATCCAATGAAAATGTCTCTGTTATCTCATAAATTCAAATTCAAATTCAAAATTACTTTATTGTCTCAAGAATGGTAGTTCTTATTGACAAAGTGTTAGGGTGAAAAACAACAAACATATCATTTGAACATTCAGGCCACATAGGGAAGACTACGCGATATATACATAAATACACATGAAATTCATCACATACATTTGTAGTGCAGACCACTACACGTCAATTTTACAAGGTCAGACGGCAATAAAATCTAAAAACATAAGTACATAAACATACAATATGCATTCATATATATAAATAAATAAAAGAACAATACAAAAGTATGGTAAAATGAGAAAAGGCAAGTTAACAATACGATTAAGTAGAATGACATAAAATGGAATCTAAAATTTTTCCAAATAGAATTCGTCCAGTGAATAGAATGCTTTGTCTAGCAAAAAAATTCTCAAAGAAACTTTGAACTTTCTTTTATCCGTGATCCTTTTCATTTCATTAGGTAAGTGATTGAACATTTTCTTGCCATTATATATAATGGAATTTTTTATTTGTGCAGACCTAGGGAGTGGTAAAGTTAAATCAGAAGCTTGTCTAGTCATATATTGTGGAGTTGATTGCACTCCTCTAAACTTACTCTGGATAAGGCATACTGTTTCCAATATATAGATGCATGGTAGTGGTAAGATTCTTTGTGCTATAAATAAAGGCTTACACGAATCCCTGAATTTGGCTTTGCACATGTATCTCAATGCCCTTTTCTGCAATACAAAAATCGTGTCGAATAGAACTCTACTACAAGATCCCCAAAAGCAAATCCCGTATCTGAGATGAGAATCGATTACAGCAAAGTAAACCTGTTTGGCCATGTCCCTACCAAGTTCCCATGAGGTGGTTTTCACTGCAAAACATCCAGATGCTATTTTTTTTCCCCAGTATCTTTATATGATCTTCAAATTTCAACTTGTCATCAATGTATAAGCCTAGAAATTTAGTTGCTCTCTTACTACTAATTTCTTGATGAATATACAGATCATTTGTTGGGATATCAAATGAGAGCCGATTCAATACTTTCAGAGATTTCTCATAAAGTACACATTTCACTGAAATAAGTTTTTCAACAAGATCCCCAAATATTTATCATATAAGTGATACGACTGAGTATATGAGAATGAAGTACTATGTTTATGATTTTTTTATCAAGTTTAGGACATCTTCGCAAAGCTTCAATGATTGGAGATATTTTTTGTATCAGAACCTCTATATGCTTGTCCCACTTCAATTTTCCATCAATCCACATACCAAGATACTTTATTTGTGTAGTTCTTTTCAATACTTCATTTTTAATTTGGAGATTGAGACTAATATTCTGTTTATTTTTCTGATGGAATATTATATATTCAGTTTCATTGGTATTAATTGATAAAATGTTAGGATTACAACCAAGAATCACACATTTAAAAAAAAAGCTCAGCCACATTCAGATTCAGCTGGATTCGAAGCGACAACACCTTCACATCGTGAACCAACTCGGGAAACCGCGCCGAGGATTTTCATTATTTCTCTCTATTCGCCCAAAAATATTTGTTGTCTAGATTCACAGTTAAAAAATCTCCTCGGTGACATACAAACATACTTGTGTTGAAATGGAAATTTTCGGCAGCGTGTCACGGCTTTTCTGTCGGAACAAGTAAATTCGTTTCAACACTCATATAATGTATGTAAATACTTAGTTATGAAAAAACTTATTTTCCTTTTTTAATTTCCTGATGAGTTATCTGCTTCTGCAACTTGTTATTGAAACTATAATAACTGATTTGAATTGAAAAAAAAAACAGTTGATTTAAATCGTCGCCTGGTTATTTCTTTTTCGACGAGTGGACTGATAATAAATTATTGGCATTCAATTACCCCACTGTTTTGTAAGGGATCTAAATCAATTTTTGCTACTTTTCACGCTTTATTATGTAAATAATGAGACTCTGCGTTGTTCTAAATTGTGTCACCCGTTTTTATGGTGTTTCGTTATTGGTCAGATAATCTTCCATTTCCACTCATAAAGCAAGATTGTCAAGTCACCAATAATTATAATGAAGTTATCAAAAATATGTTAGTCATGTCATGAATAAAACAAAACATAACAATTATAGTTTATTCCTGACATTGTCGAGCAACCAACATTTCCAAATATGTCTCATTCTCCATAACGAAATATCATGTAAATATTGAAAAGGAATATTCTCAGATATATTATAAACATGAAAAAATGGATACATTTGAATAAATACATTGAGAATTCGCATTCTCTATGTGATGAAAATATTGATTCTTTCTCGGCATATTCAACAGAAAACAACTACTTCCCTGGCTATATGCCACGACGAACATTGAATTATATCAATTGAACATACACGATAGGAATTTGAGAATAAAATGAATATCGTCTGAAATTGAGAATTGATATTCTCTTCCAGAATCGGATGAATAATATGATGAATATAACGATATAAAAAATATATTACTCACCAAATTGGTATGAAAATTGGAATGTATGGGAGAAATATACCAGTATACATACTCTGTTCTTGTTGAGTAGTGAATTTATCAAAAATCATTCGTATCCATGATGTTTGGGATATATGCACATCTCTTTCACATAGGTTAGATGATTTTGATTCGAATAAAATTCATTTCGAGTTTCAAACTCTCCTCAGTAACCTGAAGTCCAGTCATTCCTTCAGCCATTCTTCATTCATGGATACGAATGATTTTTGATAAATTCACTACTCAACAAGAACAGAGTATGTATACTGGTATATTTCTCCCATACATTCCAATTTTCATACCAATTTGGTGAGTAATATATTTTTTATATCGTTATATTCATCATATTATTCATCCGATTCTGGAAGAGAATATCAATTCTCAATTTCAGACGATATTCATTTTATTCTCAAATTCCTATCGTGTATGTTCAATTGATATAATTCAATGTTCGTCGTGGCATATAGCCAGGGAAGTAGTTGTTTTCTGTTGAATATGCCGAGAAAGAATCAATATTTTCATCACATAGAGAATGCGAATTCTCAATGTATTTATTCAAATGTATCCATTTTTTCATGTTTATAATATATCTGAGAATATTCCTTTTCAATACTTTCATACCCAATCAAGGGGTTCAAACTTGAACGATGGAAACTTGTTATTTTTATAGACCTTCAATCGCAGATTCGTGATTGGGTTTTTCTCAATTCAGAATTTCTTTCCACGCCCTGTATGATAAATGTCAGTTTGTCATACATCTAAAACTATCATGTAAATGTTGGAAACTTGGCAACATTCTGCTGAATGCTGAGAACTGACAAGACCACCCCCACAATTCGTGTGCTGTATCGTCAAGTTCACCGATTCAAATGTCCTCTAGTGTGATTAAATATAATTATTATTTACATAAATTTATTACAAGCAATAAGCCACAAATCATAAGGGAATTAGGAATATTACCAATACTTAATTGAGAATTTATGAATTATTGAATAACTAATATTTCTGAAGTTTCTAATAGACAATTGTTAAAATATATGAAATTGAAAGGTATTTGAGTGATGATTCTATTAAAGATATAAAAAAAATTATCAACTAGCCTATTATATAAAATCTTTCTTCAACAAATACTTACTGTTAAAATATATGAAATTGAAAGGTATTTGAGTGATGATTCTATTCAAGATATAAAAAAAATTATCAACTAGCCTATTATATAAAATCTTTCTTCAACAAATACTTACGAATTCCAAACTACCTCATTAAAAAGTATAATTATCTTTTATTTCATCAATTTTAATCCCAGATTATAGCAACAAAAGCCCAATCCTGTGCCGTAAACTACCTATATGAGCTGGTTTGTGTGGTTAGTTAACTGATGTCATAGTTTAGAAAACACTTCGAGGAAAATTGACTGGTTAACTTATTGTTGACACGGTTTGTGTGGTTAATATCGAAAAAAAAATTGCATTTCAGTTTTCAGTGACTCTTCCCTAAAGAACATGCATGAAGTTTGTTGGACTGACAAAATCAACTACTACAACCAATCATACAAGAGCATGTGAAGGTAATTTTAAAATAGTAATATTTTACATACCCAGTATCAGTTTTAATGGTTAGAGAAACTCCCTGTTGCTTTTGCCCCTTGTTAGCTTTGTTAGTGTTGCGTTTTTTGTTTGCCTATAAAGAAAATTACAAATTAGTTGAATAATGATTTCATACAGAATCTGATTGAGGTGAAGTAGACAAAAATACGGACAAGCTGAGAAGCAATAATTTTCAACCACCACAATTTTCAAGCCATGAACTGTCATTCCACTACCAAAGTAGTTTCTTTCATTTTATCAACTACCGTAACTGTTTGATCAATTACCTTCCTCAATAAATAATCAGGGCAAATAAAATCAAAGTCTTGAATTTCTAAACTGATATAAGAATAGGTCCCGGGTACATTTGACAGATTACCGACCCTCGAGGTAATATGATAAAAAATCGATTTGCTTCAAAGGGGTTCAAATATATAATCAACTTCCTGTTGAAATAAAAGAATGTAACAGCAAATTATTTAATAAAAAACTGAAAAAATACCTTATGAGTAAATAGACGCTTTGAATTGGCTACATTTGTAATATTTTCAAGAATTTTTGTAAAAACGCAAAGTAATGATAGGTAGTGACAAATTCTGTGATATAATTAGGCTATTATTAATACTACACTGCAACCAATGTACCTGACAAAATGTACTCTATAATTTTAATGATTCCTTTTTTTTATATGACATGTTTTTTAGAGTAAGGACCTCTATGAAAATGTAATTTTCCGTGGTTCAATAAAGACTTCTTCTTCAAACCTCACTTTTTTTTGTTTTCAAAGGATTGAAATAGTTTCTCAAAATAATTCTGGCATACGAATCGTGTTTCTTGGGTTATTTATTTAAGCATGCCATCACATTGTGCTGATGTACAATGCACAAAAAATGCAGCGAGAGACGAAGGAATGGCGATTTTTAAGGTAAATTGTGATCTGAAAGTACTGTACCTAGTCACTCACATTTATAATTCCTTCTGCAATTGAAGCTGATAAAGAGACTTTTGAAGTTTCTAAAACAAGAAAAGAAGTTTGGATTCATGCTATCAAACAGGAGGGCTGGTCTGAAATACTGACGGACTAGCGTCGAGTGTATTGTAGACATTCAAGGATTTCTAAAGAGAATTGACACATTGTCACTCTATCAGCTCCTATTGCAGAAGGAATTGGCGAGTGGACTGATAGTGAATAATTGGCATTCAATTACTTTACTGTATCATTAGGGACCTGAACTAATTTTTGCAACACTTCTTACGCGTTTTTGATGCAAGGCAAATAAGTAGCTGAGATCTTCAACTCCTGAAGTTGGTTGCCAAACCTGGTCAAAAATTCGTACGGAACAGTTCAGAACAGTCATGATTGACGAGTGGATATCAAGACGAGGATCATTATAAATTCAGAAAATACTGGACGGCAGTACAAGGTTAAAAGAACGGATGTGGTTCATAAAATTCACTTATTTAGAATCATATACCATAAGCACAAGTATCAATTTGAACTAACAAATGAACACTTGAAATTATATTAAAAAGTGTCTCAGTAGATAAAAGTAGCTAATATTAAAATACTATAGCCCACTCAAATATAATTCTTTAGTTTAACGTTTACCGCACGAAAATGACAATAAACAACAAGAATAGACAGGTAATGTTTTGAATTATATGCATTAAATTTTGGTTAGACAGGCCACATGAGAAACAAGTTATTCACTTTCCATCAAGTTGTAACAGCTGGGCCGGACACAGCTGAACTTCTATCCTTTTCTATTTTCTATATTACAATGGTTTGGGGTGAATGAAAGATAAGACATATATTCTGATCTTTGTTTTTTCAATTTCCCTAGTAGCGCCTGATTGTCAGATACGATTTTAGAGGTTAGGTTTTTTGTCAAATCAATTATAGCCGTAGATGGAAAATAGGGACTGTTCCGTTTCATGCATCAGATGCATAGACTGCATTGACGCATGGAAGCGTTCCTTTCAACATATGTCACTATTGTCACCGTACAAAACGGAACGATCTCATGACAGCATTGCCACATGCCAGTTCATCTGTCATTCTCAATTGCTTTTGGTCAGATGTCAGATGGTCAGTTTCAGTTGAAACTCGAAACTCTGAACTTAATGTGTTTGGTGATTGATATCGAAAAATTCAAATCAAAATGCTATGAAATGTTGCAGTCGCACATTTCTGATTTGCAGTGTCTCAGCACTGTAGGTAAATATCCATAGAGAAATGAAATACTGTGTCTGGAGTGTTCTCACAGTCAGCCCTGTGAGCTGTGCGAGTTTCCCGTGAGCCAACCCCAGCCAGATCGTTGATTCATCAGAACTGTGTTTCCATCAGCTGTGCAATGCAATGAATAATAATTGAATTGAGCTTATGATTGTAATAAGGTATGTAAACAAGGAAAGAAGCAAGGATGACAATAAAGATTTTATATAGAATATAGGTATTTCACTCACCTTGTAGTGATATTCCATATCAGATAATAAATTATTTATTTGAACATTTTTTTTCAATTTCTTGATTATGAAATGTTTCATATGAGAAAAATGTATAGGATGGCTAAACTGGAAGTGTCTTTTATTCCTTTGTCTTTTGTTATATCAAGATGGAGTATTCAAATAAAAATAAAATATTGCTTTTGGTTTCATCCTATATCTTTTGCGAAAGTGATGAAGAGTCTAGTCAAGTCTAGTGATAGTAGTAGTAGCAGCATAAGTTACCAGCAGCAGTAGTGACATTGATTATTTTGATTGTTCACACCACAAAATATGTCATGGAAACCATCCATTCTCAAAGTGGCCCAGTATTTTTTAAAGGGAGAAAAACAATAACTCAAAGTCGGTCGACCACAAAATTTAATAAAAGGAGTGACTATAGTTTCGGCTCAACGGCCATCTTCAGACACAATGTAAAAAAGTACCTAGAAAATTATAAGTTGTTAAATCTAGACAATATGGTGGCTGCGAAAGAACATACCTTATGGAGAAAAGTATACTAATTAAAAACTAACTAGTAGGTCAGCATCGAATCATCCGTCCAAATTGGAACTAGTAAAATTTAAAACGGCTGAAAAGCCAAAAGAACATTACGATGAGTAAGTTCAACATTAGAAAATTCAAAAGATTTTGATTAATTAATCAACTCAACGGAGCTTCATCAGCGGTCAGGCCATCAACAGGAAAGACAACGCCGTAGGTGAAATGGAAGTGATGATTTGACATTGACATCACAAAATGACAATTTCAAAGTCAGCGTAAAACATTTTGTTTGTCAATTGTTTTTGTTTACATAGTTTTATTGAATTGTATAACTTTTTAGCGTCAATAATGTCAATTTTTGAATTTGAAACTCATCTTTCATATGTTTGACTGTCATTCAAAATGTTTTACGCTGACTTTGAAATTGTCATTTTGTGATGTCAATGTCAAATCATCACTTCCATTTCACCTACGGCGTTGTCTTTCCTGTTGATGGCCTGACCGCTGATGAAGCTCCGTTGAGTTGATTAATTAATCAAAATTTTTTGAATTTTCTAATGTTGAACTTACTCATCGTAATGTTCTTTTGGCTTTTCAGCCGTTTTAAATTTTACTAGTTCCAATTTGGACGGATGATTCGATGCTGACCTACTAGTTAGTTTTTAATTAGTATACTTTTCTCCATAAGGTATGTTCTTTCGCAGCCACCATATTGTCTAGATTTAACAACTTATAATTTTCTAGGTACTTTTTTACATTGTGTCTGAAGATGGCCGTTGAGCCGAAACTATAGTCACTCCTTTTATTAAATTTTGTGGTCGACCGACTTTGAGTTATTGTTTTTCTCCCTTTAAAAACCACAAAATATGACAGTGACAGCGCCTTCGCATTCACTGCCTCTGGTTTATCGAGCAGTAGGTAATGCACCGGAAGTGGGCGGAGTCATGCACTAGGTTTGCACGGAAAATCATGAAACGGAACACTAATCATGCGCTTGCTGCGCCCGCTGCATGAAACGGAACAGGTCCATAGAAATAGGGTATAAACACCTACTTCAATTTCTAAAGATACATTTTTTGCAGTTATAGTAGGAGAGCCGGCTGCAGATTACTACCGTCATCTGATAATGAAATGATATATGTCCCAAAGGAAAGTGAAAACATTTAGTTCATCACACGGTACTTGTACCAATCCCTATCCTGAGTAAAATTATAAAAAAAATACACTCTCCTGTGCGGAAATTTGCACTCAATTTCGCGATTTGATAGCGAGATAAGAATCATGCCATCTGATACCAATTGAATGGTATATCTCGAAAACCTACCTGTGCCATCCCTTAGTCTGAGCCACATTCACAGCACAGCGATTTATTTGCTCCTATTATTCCAGACATACTTCCGTCATGTGATAACGAGTTGAAACAGAAAGCAAATGAATGGGAAATATGTTCCTTTTACGAATATCCAAACGTGTTGCGTTTCAAACTGATCTAAGTTAATGGTAGAGCGTCAATATTTCCATGATTGCATGTGGTGCTCATACTACAAGTATTCTAACCCACATGTTGAGTTTTCCACTGGTCCATCGGATATTATCTTTAGAGGGGGACGAAATATTCTCGGAAACTTTGACGCTCTGCTACTGACTTGAATCAGTTTGAATCGCGGCACGTTTGGATATTCGCAAAGGCGACAACATCCCTTTTTATTTGCTCCTTGTTTGAACTTGCAATCATATGACGGAAGTATAATATAATAATAATAATGTTTATTTTCCTTTCATAGTCAAAACAAAAAAAGAAAAAGTAAGGTATACATTCAGAAGTTACAATTAACTATATAAGATCAAAATAAACATTGAGTAACACCACGGAAGTAGATACATAATGAAATATAAACTACTTGTATGTGGTGTATGAGTGTGTTCTTATTTGGGTATACATTTTTTTGAGAAATAAAAAAAATCATTGTCAAGATATCCAACAGAAAACAACTACTTTCCTGGCTAATACCACAGAATATTGAATTATATCTGTCGAATAATGGAAATATCTAATAACAAAAAAAAAAAAATAATAAAATCTAAACATGTACAATAACTATTGAT